TATATAAATTTTTAGTATGAATTTGCAGCCGTTTCTTCCCCTTTTGAGTTGCACCACATCAGCAAATGCAGTAGCCCTGTGTATGTATACCTGAGCCCCACCTTAACTCTTCAGAGTCAGGAAATTTGCATTTAGAAAGACATACAGACCCACCCAGAACTGCTGAGAGAGTAGATTTTCATTTGAAGGAAGGACCTGCAGAGGAAAAAAAAAATTACTGTTTTGCCTTTTGAATTGCAAACAAGCAGTTTGCTGCTGCTGGATGAATCGAGGCAGGAAGTCAGTGCCCATCAGAAGAATCCCCATCCAGGACGGGTAGTTAAAAAGAGCTAGCAAGTAGCCTGTTATGCTAATCTGGGTGACCACGTGGAACCACCCAATGAGTGGAAGTGAGTGAAGTGCAACAATGAAGAGATGGGCTGAGTTTGGACATGTTCCATTGGCACCTGTTGACCTAGCCCATCAAGGCTAGGGATGAGAGAGAGAACGGGTTGGTTGGTCTGAAGTGCAAGGAGTTGTGTGGACTCTTGAGCTCACAGATGGTGCCCATTGACCTAGTCCACGGGGAGTAGGGATGAGAGTGAGAGAGAAGGGGCTGGCTGGTCTGAAGTGTGGGGAGGTGTACGGACTCCCAAGCCAATGGCTGGTTCCCACTGACCTAGCCCACAGGGGCTAGGGATGAGCTGACCACAACCTGACCAAATGAAGAGAAAGATGTTTGACACCATGAGCTGGTGTAGATTGCTGCAGTTTGATGGCTTGCTCTGTACTGGACCTTGCTTATGCATGCAGATACTCAAAGTTCCAACCAGAACAGAAGGTTCATCAGATCAAGGAACAGGCTTGTCTCCTCAGAGTACTGGTTTGATAAGGATGGGAAATGTAAACACTGACTATCTAAAATGGGGGGAGATAAAAGCATGAAGTGGATGTGCTTATGCTCAAAATGAAGGAGACGGGGAAGACCTCCACTGAATACATTCCTCTTTTCCTGATGGTTCTGGGGAAGAGAGGATGGGAAAAGATGCTGATAGGATTATGCAATTCAGTTTCGAGTGTTGTTAACAGGGTTAATTGTGATTATAAAAATGGTAATTATAGAACTGTGTCAAAGAGTAGACTAAGGGGGAGGCACTGCTGGTCTGGAGTATAATGGTTGAACCTCAAGTCCCTAAAAGGTTTTGCTATGCTGATACCTCATGAGGCTCAGAGCAAGGAAATAATCTTCTATTAAATTTTACCAGACACCGGAAAGTATGAAGAGAAGATGAACTTTTGGAGAACCTCACCAGATCAGATGGACACCTGCAGCAAACCTGAATGGCTGGCACTAAGTAACTCACCCTGAGGACTCTCTGCCCTACGAAGGACTAATTCTTAACAACTGGTAACTAATTACTAAAACTAATTGGACTGGTAAAATTATTGGGAGAAGGGGATTAATCCTCCAAGTATGAACAGGCCAATGGCTGGAAGAACCAGGGGGTGGCCTATGGTGCAATGAATTACTTAAAATATGGCCCTTCTAGCTATAGTCTTTGTAACTCCCACCAAATGACTGGGTGATGCTATGCAAATAAGGTACAGCCACCAAGGGGATAACTTGCTAATTATGTAAATAAGGTGTATGGAACCTAACAAGGGGATTGGTCAGTTTTACCATCCCGCTAGGCTTATAAGGAGACACAGAGATAGAGAGGAGCTGTAACAAGAAGATAGAGAGGCAGCAGAGGAAGCAGAACCAGGACGTAGACAGAGAGCTGTAACACCAGAGATGGCAAGAAGCAGCAGCAGCAGAAATGGCGGCAGCAGAACCAGGACATGGAGGGAGACCAACAGGAGATGGCGTGCGGGCTTCCTGGCCCACAGAGTGAGAAAGCTGAGCGCCTTCAGTCAGGAGGCTTGCTGGTGGAGTAGGGTGTCTCCGGGCACTTGGAGGTAAGTTTGCCGACCCACAGAGCTAGAACTGTTGCCAAGGCCGTGGCTTACTGGAGGAATGAGGTGCCTCTGAGCACTTATCAGCAGAGCTAAGAGAGCTTTGTAACACTTGCTGAGCAGGGCAGAGGTCAGGCTGAGGGACTGAGGGCCAGGGAGAGACCTACCCGCAGGCACAGCTAAGAGGCTGTCCTGATCAAAGAACTGTATCCTTATCATTCCTGAACCTGAACTGTAACCTGTTACCTCCCTAATAAACCCCCATAACTGTATGGTCTGTGAGTTCTGTGTGACCATTGCAACGAATTATCGAACCAGCAGAGAAGCAGAGTGCCGTGGGAGGGATGGTTGGTGTCAGAATTGGTAAAGTTGGAGGAGAGAGGAGGCATGTCTGACCCCCCACCTCATAGGAATCAGCCTTGGGCTGTTGATCTTGATTCTCCTTCCCCCTTTTAGAGGAGGTCAGATGATGCCCTCACCATGCCATTTTTACACCCAGCTCAGTCTCCCTGTTTGCCCCGAGCCAGTGACCTCTCAGCCCCCGCGCCTGTTTCCCCTTCTGAACAACAGGCCCCTCCACATTCCTTGGCCTGGAATTCAGTCCACGAGCTAGTGGCCCAGGAGGGACTGTACCAGCAGTCAAGGCCAGCCCATCTCCCTTGGAAGTTTTGGGGAAAATAAACCAATGAGCCCCATCTATCTCCTCCTCCACACTTTTATTTTAAAAAAATAATTGTACAGAAGAGTACAGTTTTAAAAGGTTTATCAAAAATGCTGAGTCCCAGGCAAAGGCCCTGCCCCAGCCAGGACTGGGACTCTGCAGTTGGAGGACTGATCCAGCTGCCCCTTCATGCTTTGTGCTGTCAGGACAAAGGGGGCCCCAGGCTGGCCTTTGTCCCCAGGGTGTGTGGCCTGAGCAGTCCCATGGGGGCCCTGCACCAGAGTTAATGCTCTGTAGTCCCCTTCTCGAAATGCATCAGACTCTTCTGAACAGGAGGTCCCTGCAGTTTCATTTTGCAAGTTATGCCATCAGTCTTGTCTGTCCCCCTGAGCCTTGGTTTCCTGCTCAGGTGGCCCTGATATACTGGGGTACTCAGAGGAGCCCCTGGGCAGTCGCAGCCGAGGCCTGGAAACTCTGACTTTCAAAGGCTGAAGCTGCTACCCCTCCCACTCACAGTCCCCACATCACCCCAAAAACCTGCTCCCCTAAACACCTCACTCCTGGGCCTTCTCTCCCACCAGAACTCACTGAGTGGCCTCAACTGAGGCACTTGCCTCTGAGCTCCTAGTTCTCTCCCCTAAAATGAAGGGACTGGGCTCTAAACTTCGCTCAGCTCTGACCTTCTCTGACTTCTCTGCCCTTTCACTTGCCTGCCTATTGAGCTCCCATTCATATGCCAAAGTCTTAGCTAAAACATCTTTTCTTCCAGGAAGCCTTCCCTGATCCCCCCCCACCCCGGACTTCCCCAGCCCTGGGGTCCTTTCATCTGGTCCCATGAGGCTGGAAGTATCTGTGTCTGATTCCTGGGTTCACCCTCAGGGAACTCTCAGACTGGAGGCTTCTTGGGGTCCCCAGCACTGCCCACAGACTGGGCATAGACACATTAAACAATCACTCAGATCTTGCACTTGGTGTTAAGATGCCTCACGAGGACAGCAAGTCCAGATATGTTAGATTCCGGCCCAGCTCTTCCTCTGTCCTGTGTGATCTCAGAACAGCCTGTGTCCAACCTGAGACTCCATTTCCCCAACTTCAAAGCAGTCAGGTTGGTTTGTCCTTGCTCCAGGTGCTCCCCATGTCTGTGGTGGCTGGAAACAGTGTGCAGCTTCATCCCTCAAGGTGTCCACTTGCTGCTCAGCAGGTCATACAGCGGGGTCTGATGGCCTCTGTGGGTGGGTGAGGGTCCTCCTGAGAGAGAAGTTCCCATCAGGTCTTGGAGGAAACTGGAGGCTCAGAAGCACCCTCTCCCTGCCCCACACATCTCCCAAATCTGACCTTCTCTGACTTCTCCCTCTCATTTGCCTGTTGGTTGATCTCCTATTCATATGCCAAAGCCTCAGCTAAAATGCCCTTTCCCCAAATCCCACACTTGTCCAGGGATGAGGCAACCTAAGGGTGATACCCAGAGCAAACTGGGACACCATGGGAGTTTGGGTGCTAAGATATATATAGGAGTTCTTCCATTAACATTTAAAACCTGTCTCCTACGCCTCCCACCCCAAGGCCCAGAGAGGCGTACGGGGTTCCTGGACCCCCCAGCTCACCTCAGAGTACAGGGGCGGTGGGCGGTAGCGGAACTCCTGGATGTAGGCGTAGAAGGGGCCCTCAGGGCCTAGGTTGATGTCTGGCAGTAGTGGAAAGAGATTCTCTCCTGCAGTGGACACCTCCTCATCTGCCACCACCTCCGAGTACTCAGGAGGGGCTGGAAATGAGAGACAGGGTGGGTGAGGCTGGCAGAGGTGGGAGGGGGCCTGGGGAAAGTGCCTACTCTGGGGGGAAGCACTCGTGACTGTCATCATGATCAATGAGGGGACTAAGACTGGGGGGATTGACGTGGCATCCACCCTTCTGTCCCCCATCCCCTGCAGCAGGACTTGGCGCTTACCCTCAGGCTGCTCCGGCAGGGCGCCCAGCCCCCAGTCCACCAGGAAGCTGGCGTGGCTGCTCACACTGGATGAGCGGCTGCTGAAAGCGTGCAGGGGCACAGTGCCAATGACCAGCGGGAGCTCCAGGAGCAGCTTGGATGTGCCTGGGATGTCCACACAGACCTAGGAGAGAGCCGTGATGGAGGGTGTCCAGACAGCCTCTGCTATGCCTGTTCCTCCTCCCTCCTTCTTCACAAGAGGTACTTCCTGACCCCTCATCCTTGCTCCCAAAGAGACCAAGGCCCCCAGGTCCACCCTCAAGAAACTCCAGTCTGGGGACAGACAGACACAGACCTGAGGAGGGAGCTGCAATGGAGGAGCCCAGGCAGCCTCCGCCATGCCCACTCCTCTCCCTTTCTTCTACAGAAGATACTTCCTGACCCCCCTCCCTATGCCCAGGGAGACTGAAGCCTGGGTCCACCCTTGGGAATCCCAGTCCAGGGACAGAGAGGATGCAGCCCCCCTGCTGCTACGACCAGCAAAATGCACTAACCTTGAGGGCATAGTCGACGTGCAGCACACGGCAGTGCAGGATGGAGGGGCCCACAGGCGGGATCCGCAGTACCCGGCCCTGCCACAGTGTCCGCCGCCCAGGGCCCACGGGCTCACCCACCAGGCTGGCCACCACAGCCCGCTTCTGCTTGCGGGCTCCTCGCGCCATGAAGGTCTGTGTCTGGACCACGGCTGCCCGTGGTAGTACAGGGCGTGTGGTGCCGTTGTCGATCTCGGCGAAGACGGGGATCACCTCACCTACAGCACAGAGTGGGGTGCCTCAGTTTCCACCATCACAGCCCCAACCCTGGCCCTCCTGCTGATCCTACCTGCCCACCTGCTACCCAGCTACCTGGTGTGTAGCCCTTTCGGTCGATCTTAGCCGAGAGGGAGACGAGGCCACGGTTACAGTACCAGGTCCGGGCGACCTTCTCCCGTGTGCCCGCCTGGGGTGCCTGCCAGGGTGGAGGAGCGAGACACGAATGGATCACTGTGCAAACTCCACAGAGCTCCCAAACCCCCGTCACTGAGGGACGACTTTGGGGGTGGGGGGGAGGGCCAGTTGCTTTTTAACAATCCTGGGACTAACTGTAAGATGGATCCAGGGATGTTGCTAGTTGCCGCTGAGTCAATTCTGACTCGCGGTGACCCCATGTATGGCGGAAAGAACTTGTTTTCTTGGCTGTAATCTTAATGGAAGCAATTCGCCAGGCCTTTCTTCCACAGTGCTGCTGGGTGGGTTTGAACTAGCAAACTTTGTTAGCCGTTGAACGCAAACTGTTTGCACTACCCAGGGACCTTTACTCAGGAGTACAGTCCACCTTATGAGGCTGAAAATGAAATAAACAAGCCAAATGCTTAGTGCATAATCAGTGCTTAGTAAGCCGTTATTGGAGTCCCTGAGCGGCGCAAACAGTTAAGCTTCCGAAAGGTCACAGTTATTGAAAACCCTATGGAACAGCTCTGCACTTGTGGGGTTGCCATGAGTCAGAATCAACTCGATGGCAACTAACAAGCCCTGGCCTATGCATTATTTTGCAGACAGGGCATAGAAGGCTCAGAGAGAATGAGACACTTGCCCAGAGCTACACAGCAAATTAGTACAAAGGTGGGATTTGCACCTGGTCCCACTGGACTCCAAATGCTTTCCTACACCTGCCTGCCTCCCTCCTGAAGCCAAGCCGTCACCCCCAAGTTGTGCAGGGGGTGAGTGGGTGAGGAGCCAGCTGGTGTCCCCCAGCAGCCAGGTCCCTGCCTACAGCATCACAGCTGCTGGGATGGCTACATACCAGCAGGGCGGGAGTGCTGATATCCACAGGCTCGATGACAGTGAACACCTTCCTTGCCCGGCGCGCCGGGGCCCAGGGCCGGTGTAAGGTGGCCTTGATGCTGTAGCGGACGCTGCCGTGTCTGCCCTCAAAGGACGTCACTAGGGTCCTGGGAGTAGGAGGGAGGGGGCCTCAGGGGCAAGATACAGAGACAAACAGTAGGGTCCAGAGACTGGGGCACTAGCTAGACACTCAGAGACACCCTCGGGGATCCCCCAGGGAGACAGTCTTGAGGCTCAGAAGTCCCCTTTAAAAAAAAAAACAAACAAACCCGTTGCCTTCGAGTCGATTCCGACTCATAGCGACCTGGACACCTCCAAACCTGGAAGGGCTGCAGACTTAGGACTTACGGGGGCAGCTGGAAGCTGAACGGGAACTCATGGCGCCCTGGAGGCAGAGTCGTCATAGTCTCTCCGGTGTCTGCGGATAGGAGAGTGGGACTCAGGTGCTGCAAGGAGGTCCTGCTGTCGGGTGGGCGGTGCTCAGCCCCCCCGCGTCCTCGGTCTTACCTGGCGCAAGGAGTGTGGCGCGGTGGTTCACCACCTCCACGCGCTCGCTGTAGCTCTGCGTGTATGCGGTGCTCGAGCCCGCGCTGCGCGATTCGGTCCAGTGCACGTGAGCACGGCCCCGCGCGCACAACCTAAGGGCGCCCACGCGCGCCGCACCCGCCAGCTCCAGCAGCACCCGGCCCGCCACGACCTGGCCGCCGCCAAACACCGGCTCCGTGCCCGCGCTCGCCCCATCTAGCTGCACCACAAACGCCTTCACCTTGTCGAACAGCATCGCGCCCGGGACGCGAACCTGCTACGGGCAGACGCTGGCTTCGAACCCACGGCGCTGCGGCGGCGGCGCAAATTATGGACGCCGCAGTTTAGGGTCGTGAGTCCGTCCGGCACGCGCAGGCGTCCAGACCAAGCCGGTGAGCTACAACCCGCGCCGCGCGCTCGCTGAGCATTTATACGGCTTGGCGGGGGCGGGGCGAAAAGCAGTCCCCGCCCCTGGAGCGGGCTCCTCCAATGGCGTGGCAAAGGGCGTGGCTCCGGCCAGGCGTTGAGGAAAACACCTGCCTGCTCCCGCGCCTGGGCTGAGGGCCTCGCCCTCTCCCCTGGCGGGCCCGGGGGAAACTGAGGCGTGGAGCGCCCAGAGCCGGTGTCTCATGCACCCCGGCGGTCAAGCGAGGAAACTGAGACTAGAGGCGGAGCCCCGACCTGAGGTCACCCAGATGAGCGAGCACCTTGCCCCACCGGCTTAATCGTTAATCTGCTGCCACCTGCAGATGTGACTCGGGGGACTGGCCCCCACTCCCCGGCCTGAGAGTCTGGGCCGCGCCGGGCCTCAGTTTCCCCTTCTGAGAAATGAGGGTAGGAGGAGAAAATGGGTGAGGTCTCCCTCTACTCGGGGCGCCTGCTTGGCCAACCCACTCTTACTCAGGATTCGAACCCCCTTTCAGCTGGGTGACCCAGGCAAGTGACAGTCTTTGAGGCCGCAGTTTCCACATGTGTAGAACTAGGAGAAAATCATTCGCGACCACAAAGCCGTGAAGCCCCGGTCATCGGTCATCAACCTGCCCCCAACACGCCTCTAGGCCTCACCGGGCGCCTTTGCCCACCCTGTTCCTACTTCCTGACGCGCCGTTCCCAACTTTCAGCGCTTGGCAAATTCACGCATCCCCTAGGCAGAGCCCGCGCGCCGCTCCACACACATCCAGCCCCGGTCTTCCCTTCCTCCTCCTCCCAGAGCCAGGAGCAAAGGACGCTACAGGCCTGTGGTGCGCCCTCGGGGCGATGCGCCGCCTCTCTGGGCCTCAGTTTTCCCGAGGGAGAGCCGGGTGGATAGTTTCCTGGCAGCCCAGGGTTGCCTCCGGGCCGTTTGCAGGGCGTCGGCGCCCCCTAGTGGCGGTGAATGCACTGCTCCTCAAACCCACTCCCCTACCCTGGGCCGCCGGATCTGGGCTAGGCTCAGGCAACACTAGGACCCCGAGGCCTTGGCACTACCGTTGGGGTGGGGCACAGCTGAACACGGTTTACCCACAGCCCGGGGTGAGGGAAGTCCGGGCAGGACCGAAGGGAGGAGCGGGGGCTGGCGGCGTTCAGGGAGGCGCAGGGTTCAGACTAGGGGACTGCCAGGAGGAAAGGGCGTCGGGACCTTCTCCCAGGACCAAGTGGACCCGACGGGGGACAAGAAGCCGGAAGCCCAGGAGGAGGCGGGGACGAGTTTACCTGCTACCCCCTGGGGAGGAGGGGACCGGGAGCGGGGAGGTTTGGACTCAGCTGGGCCTCCCTCGACCCATTTCATAGATGGGCCCCAGAGAGGGGCAAGACCTACCCGGGATCACGCAGTAGTTCCGCGGGTTAGGCCCTCCAGCATTTTAAGGAAGTCGCCGGCGCATGTCTGGGGCCGGGGGGCAGTAGGGCCAGCATGGCCCCAATGTTTCCCATGAGCCTCCCCAGAAGGGAAGTGCCTCTGGTGCCCCTTCCTGCCCCACCCCCCGCTGCCCGCGCCTGGGTTTCCACAGCTGGTCAGGGAAGGGTCCCAAGGCTTCGCGGTTGTGGGCAAAGTGCTGGAAGAAGGGAACTTTGAGAGGTCGGAGCTGCTGCCCCCCACTGCCCCGCTCATTTTGTGGATGGAATAGGGAGGTCTGGCTTAGGCTAAGGCGGCTCAGAGAGGCCGAGGTCTCCCTGGCAGCCACACAGCATGAGCTGCAGCCCCTGACCCACTCGTGAAGAGCTGTGTGGCCTGGGGTTGGAGATGAAAGACTGAGGTTCAGAGGGCAGGTAGGGACAGACCTAAGGCCCTGCCATGCTGGGCGTAACTCCCAGACTGATGGTTCTCACCCCAAGTTTCTTCCCCTTAGACAGGCATTGAATATACCACTGACTACCTAAAGAAGGAACAAATCTGTTTTGGAAGAAGTACAACCAGAATGCTCCTTAGAAGCAAAGATGGCGAGACTACTCTCACATACTTTGGATACGTTATCAGGAGGGATCAGTCCCTGGAGGACATCATGCTTGGTAAAGTAGAGGGTCAGCAAAAAAGAGGAAGACCCTCAACGAGATGGATTGACACAGTGGCTGCAACAGTGGGCTCAAGCATAACCATTGTGAGGTTGGTGCAGAACCCGGCAGTGTTTCGTTCTGTTGTTCATGGAGTTGCAATGAGTTGGAACCGACTCCAGGGCACCTAACAACAGAGGAGCATTCCCACCCTCTCCCTCTAACACCACCAGAACTCCCTCCCCAGGGATGACCCCATAGCTACAGACAGTTCTGGGTAAACTGGGGAGGGGGAGACACTGGCAGGGCCTTCTTTGGGGATCAGCGACTGGGGCTAAAAGGGGGTTCCTGGAGTCCGGGGTCCCCACCCAAGGGTTCCCCAAACCCTGGATAGGGGGTCCCCGCACATGAGAGGGGTCTCCCTACCAGACAACCTCTAAATGGAAGTTCTCCCAGCCCTGGGGGGAGTGTACCCACATGGGGAGGGGGTCTCAGCCGAGATGGTCTCAGCTCTGCTCTGGAGGGGGCTGCCAGACCCTTGGAAGGGGATCCCGGAAAGGGGGTCCTGACCGAGGGGGGTGTCCTAGTAGGGTGTTCAGACCCTGGATAAGGAGTCCTTATGTATGGAGAGGAGTCACCTGGCCGCACAACCTCTAAGTCGAAGGGCTACTGGCTCTGGAGGAGAGGGGGCGCCCAGGCCCAGAGCAAGGGGGTCCTGGCCGAAGTAGTCCTGGCTGGGGAGCGGCTCACCTCGAAGTAGCAGCTGCTGCCGCCGCCGCAGGTACGTCTCAGCGGCCGCGTAGTCGCTGGAC